TTTAATTCTTGGGCTCTATCTTCGGTTAAAAAAAAGATCTTTGTTTGTCTTCTACTGGACCTCAGTTCATCATCTCTCTAAAGCAACTGTTGTAGCCACTCTCCCTTTAAGACAACTTTCATCTGATTGGCTGGCACTTTAAAGTGGCACTTTTGCCTCTCAGGGATTATTTGGACATCTGCTGACCTCAATATTTGGAACTTTGGCCATGTTTAATGTGAGCACCCACCACTGTAACAGTATATATGTGACAGAAAGCAAATAAAAGTGTAATAGATCTACTTCATAGGTTTGTAATAAAAAAAAAAGACAACAACATTATTATTCTTTAAGACTCATTTTAATTGGTGGTATGTAGACTGCTGTTTTATATATATATATAAATGATTTTTTTCTTGTTTATATTCAGGTACTTGTTCTCTGTGCCTTTGTTTGTTAATGATTGCTTTTTGTTTCGGGGTGTGTTTTTGCAGATCATTGTTGAGAGGTCCCCGAGGTCACGAGCTCCTGAACTGGACAAGAAGAAATACTTAGTACCCTCCGATTTAACAGGTGAAACGACATTACAGATATTTTGAAACCAAAGGAAAAATTAAAAAGTGAATGATTGAAGAGTCATTGTAAGCAGGATGTGTTATATTTTAACAGGGCCTGACAAACTATGCAATGTCAAAGCTGTTTTCAAATTACTTTAAGCCAGTGTCAACTTTGCTCTTCTGGTGTTGGTGATCAGCCAACACAGGACTAAACAGCAAATATCTGCTCTATCCACACAAGCCAACCGTATCTCCTATGATGTACTTTCCAAAGCTTTTGGACCAGACAGGATGTCCCTAATAAGTTAAAAGCTTTTGCGGGCATCTTTTTAAACATATTTAGAGATTTTCAAGTGTCAGTGGAGGAGCAGCACAGTAAGAGGCCATTCACTTTGATTAAAACAAAACTAACCACCTCCCATTACCAGTTTTAATGCATTTTTATGTAAATCAAAAGTGAATAAAAAGTACTATTTACATATATATGTAACTGTACATACTCATAATTTCAAACGAAATTCTGCTATTACTGCAACCCTCCCGCAGTACCTTCCCTGTCAACCAGGGGGCACCAGCCACACTTTGGGAATCATAGGTCTGTTTGATAATAACTCGATAAAATTACAGAGAGCTCTCCAGTTCTCCTTTATTGGTCTCTTTAATATATTGGTAGTTCTCTTAACTTTACAGAAGTTTTGTTTTACGGTAACTGGTTGAGTCACAGACTGATCTGTGACTTGTCATGATCAGTTTTTTCCCCCTTTCTCATCTTACATGAAGTGAAACTCCTGTGTCTGCTATACACTGACCATCCACTCCTTTATCTCCTTCCCCTTTTTTTAGTCGGCCAGTTGTGCTTCCTAATCCGTCAGCGTGTGTCTTTGAGACCAGAGGAGGCGCTCTTCTTCTTTGTCAACAACTCTCTTCCCCCATCCAGCTCCCCTCTTTCTGCAGTATATGAGGTAAGCATTTCAGTGCACGCACGCACAGACTCACAACAACAGTTATCCACATTTAGAGATTGCTTTCCTTTTCCAAAACAAAAAATGCAAAAAACACTACACTGTGGAATAGTCTTGAGTAGCCCCTCATTTCTTTATATTTTTCTAGGAAAATGGAAAATAGGTGCAGAAATGTATTGAAATAGGCACAAACCGGGAATGTTTTTAATAGATCCAACTAAAGAAATTAAAATTGGTTCTCTGCTAATTTGTCTGGTATGTATAGACACAACACTGGTTCATCCCTTGAGTTCGGTGCCTTTTTAATGCTTGAATAATTTGAAGGTCCATGTTAAGTGGCTTAAAAAGTAGGAAAAAGCTTTAAAAAGTTGCTGCTCTGGGCATAACATACTGAATTTGTCTTCACATTCTGAAACTCTTTTGGCAGATCTGCTTAGGCAGCAGTGTTACTTCGCTTTTTCTAATCCTATTAATACGCGCCTAACAGAAAGTAAACAGAAGTAAGGATGAGCTAAGTGATATTCTATCATCCGAAAAGTGATGCCAAAATCAGAATATATAGAAAAGAGAAGTGAACATCTTGATACAGTTGAGGGTTTGATTAGCTCTAAAGGTAACGTGTAAATGAAGACACATTTTTTTCCCATTCTTTTTACACTTCGTCAGAGAAGGAAGTTAGATAAATTGCTGACTTGTTTTATTTCACATCCAAAATAAACTTCTGTTTTTCATTGTTGTTGTGTGTCTCAAAGTTCACAAACTTTTCATGCTCATTTGTGGATTATTCCCTGCTATTTTAATGTGTTCAGGAGCACCATGAAGAGGACCTGTTTCTCTACATGTCCTACAGTAATGAGAGCGTGTACGGTGCATGAGGACGAACGAAAGACTCAAGCAAGCAAGAGAGCAAATGAGAAGAGTGATATGGGCTGAAGAAAGAATTGGGGCTGTTTCGAAATGCTTCACATCCACCTTTTATTCTCTATAATAGTAGCTTTGATGAGTAACTACCGTGCATGGTGGAAGAAAAGCTTTGTATAAAACAATGTGGTGCTGGCATGGTTTTAACTTTCAACAGTATTTTAAGGGGAGAAGGATGGGTAAGTCATGTTGATTTCCTTACTCAGTAAACAAAAACACAGGAAGGTTTGAAAGCACGAATTCTTTGTAAGAAGTGGAACTTATTGCAATTATGTTGAGAGAGCTCTTTTTTTCCTCACTTACCTGTATTTAATGCAAATAGTACTTTTGTTTTTGTAAATTATCATAAACTTTTGTGGAAAAAAAAAAGAAGCCATCCATTGTGTGCGTTCTTTTCTTATTTGTTTGCCACTGAACGGCTAACGTGAAGTACCCCTGAGCGTGTCCAGAGGAGTACACATTGTTGCGGGGACATCAACAAAGCATGCTTAAGAACTGTGCTGCCTAAATTTGTTCAACATGTGAAATGCCCTACGAGAGGGAACAAAACTTTGGACCATGTTTACTCAATTATTAACCAAGCCTACAGATCTGTTCCCCTCCCCCACCTGAGCATGTCTGACCACCTCTCTCTGCTCGTTGTCCTGGCATACACACCACTCAGGAAAAGGACAAAGGGCACCAACCAAACTATCAACACCTTTTTTAGGAAGCTCTGGCTCAGCTGCAGGACTGTTTTGCCTTCACAGAGTGGAGTGTCTTCGAACATGTCGACCTAGAGACTCACACTGCTGCAGTGCTAGGTTACATCAAGCACTGCATGGACACTGTCACCATGTGAAAGCGGGTACGGGTAGACCACAGCCATAAACCCTGGATGACAAGTAAGGTTCAGGCATCATTAAAGGCACACAACTCTGCATACCAATCTGGGGACCAGGATATGTAGAGCAGAGAAAGAGCAGACCTTAAAAAAAGCATCAGAGCAGCAAAACTTGACTATTTAAATAAACTATCGGATCGCTTCTCAGATAACAACTCTAAGAAGGTATGGGAGTGCCTGAAACACATCACAAACTACAGGTAAATACAGATAAAATAGACATCTCATTAGCAGAGGAACTTAACCACTTCTTAGCCTGCTTTGAGAGAACTGTAAACACCCCTACCATTCACACCACCCTGCCCATAGCCGCCTTTGAGCACAGCCCACACACATTTACTCCCCAAGAACACCAGGTTTACAATGTGTTCAGAGCAGTTAATCAGAGAAAAGCCGCTGGCCCTGACGGAATACCTGGGAGTGTCTTCAAAGTCTGCGCTGACCAGCTAGCTCCTGTGTTCACCAGACTATTCAGCCTCTCCCTGTTACATGCCACTGTCCCTCACTGCCTGAAATCAGCGACAATAGTACCAGTCCCCAAGTCCACCATCATCAGTGGCCTCAATGACTACAGACCCATCACACTGACACCAGTGGTTGCAAAGTGTTTTGAGAAGCTGGTCCTAAAGCACATAAAGGACTGCCGCCCACTCAGCTTTGGCCCTCACAGTTCCACAGAGTATGCTGTTTCCACTGCCCTAAACTCTGCTTAGAATCTTGGGACTTCAGTAAGGAAGTCTCTTCATTGATTTCAGCTCGGCTTTCAATACCATCATCCCAGACATCCTTATAGCCAAGCTGGTAAACTTAGACTCCTCCCCCCGCTACATGTGCATGGATCAAAAACTTTATCACAATCTGTCATCAGATCGTCCTCCCTGTCACTCAGCACTGGCTCACCACAGGGATGTGTGCTGAGTCCTCTCCCATACACCATCTACACCAGTGACTGCACCCCCCGCAACCCTGCAACATCATCATCAAATTTGCAGATGACACCACCCTGATGAGAATCATCACCAACGTTGACAACACAGACAGAGGTCCAGGGTCTGACAGAATGGTGTGACCACAATAACCTTACCCTAAACACAGGAAAACCACCTGTCCCCTCTCCATAAAAGGTGACTACATGGAGAGGTTGTCCTCCTTCAAGTTCCTCGGTACCCACATTTCTGAGGACCTGTCCTGGACTACAAATACATCAGCCTGAATGAAGAAAGCTCAGCAGCTCCTCCATTTCTTGAGGGTTCTAAGATGCAACAGGCTGCAGACTGACCTCCTAGTGTGTCCTATCGTGCCACAATCGAGAGTGTGCTGGTGCACGCCATCCCTGTGTGGTACGTTGGTTGCACAACAGCCAATAAGGAGAGAGGGTCATCCAGACCCTCTCTCCTTATTGGTCATCAAAACGGCAGAGAAGGTGTCCACTCTCCATCCTGGACTCCATTACCAGCTCTAGATGTCTCTCCATTTAATGTAAAATGTCTTTTTTGTGCAATATTTTGGCAGATGTGCAGTTTCCATCCACCCTTTTTTATTATTTGTTATATTCTAGTGTACATAGTGTTCCTATATATTTTTTTCTTCTTCTATATTGTCTTTTACTTTTAAACCCTGTGGTCTTGTTACATAATTCCATTGTGCAAGCAACTGTACAATGACAATAAAAGGTCTAAGTCCAAGTTCAAGTCTAAGTCACTTAGTGTCTGTGCAACTGCATGACAAGTTACATAAGCTCATTGTCAGTTGACTAGGCAGGTCTAAAAAGCTCCAGCAAAATCGAAACTGTGAGAAAACAAGAAGAGGGGAGCCATGGAGATGCAAGAGATCCCCAAAGAGACAGAAAAAGCCAAAGAAGGGGATGAAGGACCGAGCGAACCGATGCTGGAGGTGAAAAAAGAAGGTAAAGAAAAAAGAAGCTGTTTACATTGTACCAAAGTCTAAATGAAAATTATGTATGCAAGTCATGCAAATGTTATGTAAAGTAAGTAAACTGTGCAAAAGATTCAAAACTTGTTTAATAAAAAGAAAATCCTAAAAGTTTTGAGATTTTTAAAAAAGTTTACTTTAGAAAATCCAGATTATTTGAAAGCCGACCACAGTTGGTTCATTTCTCTTGCTAAAATGTGTCCATCTGTATTTTTATCTTTAGAGGAAGCAGAACAAGACCACTACGCCAAACTGCAAATTTCATCTGAGGATGTCTATTCAGAAGCTTTCTCTGCGGCTGGTTCACGAAAACAAATACTGGGTACAGTTTTACACAAAATATTTGTGTCTTCAGCTGGTTGGTTGCCCAGTTTGGGCTCGTTCTTTCTTTTTTCAGTACGTGCTTTAGGTAAAACACAGGATTTAGTATCATTATTATACAGAATAATAATAAATGTGCTTTTTGTCTTTATAATCTACCATCTGGGAGATAAATTAAAGCAGTAAATATTTTGGTTTCTCACAAAAAACGATTCAGCCAAAGAGAAAAGAAAAAAAAAAGCAGAAGTGGGTTTTTTTTGGTAATCTTCAAACCGCATCACCAGTTACAGTAAAATGTGTATAATAGTAACCATTGCAGTGAAATTGCGCATGTTTAAATCTTTGTAGAATTTACTGTAGTCTGTATAATACTATTTTTAATGTTTTTGTAGGATTATCAAATAAATATAGTACTGAATATTTGATATATGGTATTAAATGTTTCAGTTTGCAGTATTTAGGGCTGTGACCGTCTTTTTATTTTTAGTGATTTATTGTTGATGTTTTCTTGTTTTACACTAAAACTTACAATGTAGAGGCAGATTTCTTGTCTTTATTAAGACAATGATCTTTGACGTGATACATTATTTGTTGCTTTTCAAAACAAATGAATTTATGGACCATTTTGTCCTAAGTAAATTGTTTCGGCATAAAAAGCTCCCTCAGTTTTTCCCAAGCATTTATAATGCTAATGATATGCATCAAGAAAATGTGTTTTTACTAATGTCTGGAGATATTGCAATATATATAAAAAAGAATTTGTGTTAAAAAGTAGAAAAATGAAAATCACTGCGGAGTAACAATGTAAGTTTACCTGAAATATAAGGTACTCTGAAATATTGCTGTCTTATAATTAGAAGCACTATTAATACTGCTGCCACTGCTAATAAAACTGTTACTTAACATAATCAATAATCTCACCATTAAAGAGTAATATACAGGAAAATAGAACTAGATATATTGGTGGCGTTTCATGATTTCGCAACTTATGGTGTTATTGTCATGCGCTTTCGGTTTAATTCGTCTAAATCACATGGAAATTGTGCAATTTTTAGTATCTAAAAATGCTTTTAAGCAGGCTCAGCAGAACATGGGATTCAGGATTTTCCGTTTTAATGGAGAGAAGAAGGGTGAAAAAAATGTTTTTAGTGTGTACTTTGGGATACTTTAGAGAAAAACTTATTGTGCCCTCTTCTTGTTTAGTTTTTTAATTGTATAATCATTTATGTTATCATATAATCAATTAATTACCAAAATGTTTTCTTTATTAATGATTTGTTTAGCATTAATTTTCATGTCTCTTATAGAGTAAAATGTGATATAGAATATTTTACTAATAATTACCTTCTATCTACACGTTAGTATCAAAGGTACTGGCTGTATCGTAAAGGGTCGGAACCTCCCTTACTACATTATAAATATATATTATATTACTATATTATATTAAATAAAATAAAATAATAGTTTCTCTTTACTCTTCTCTTTGTAGGTATATACTGGAAACTGTCCAGAATACCTATAGTAATTAAATTTCACGTATGTCAACTGTAAATGCTAAGTATCACTAAAAGTAAGTATGTTTAGTTAATCAAATTACATCCTAAGTCCAGAAGAATTACTTACGTAATTGTGTAAAATTACTCTGTAAGATCTGGGCTTTGTTATGAAATGCTACTGCTATAATTTAGGTTGGTTAATTAAGCTTAGTTCATGAGTTTTTCCTTCATCTGTTACATCATTTTAATCCAATTTGCGTGCAACCATTATGATAAGACCACATGTAGTTTGAGGTTGCTGTGCTGTTAATGTAACCCAGTGCGAATAAAAATTCGCCCACAGCCTGAAGGCAAAACGGTCTGACAGGAAGTCTGTCTGTTGTGTGTCTTTACAAAGAACAATTTTAACTAAACTTCCCTCTAACCACATTACTCACAACCTGTTGTAGTTTGGCCTTTGTGTTGAACTTCCATCGTTCTTTATTGTTGTAGTGAGTCAGTTTAGTCGTTAAGACAACAACAACAGCTGCATAAATAAATAAATAAATAAATAAGTACATAAGACGGCATGACAACATGGCACAGCAATGTGTCTAACTTTTTTATGATCACTAACCCGCAAAAAGGCAACAAAACCAATTAAAGCTATCACAGCATGAGTCATGTTCTTTTTTGCAATTTGGTGAAATCAAATAATGGTTTTGTTTACAAGAATATTTTGTTAATTAGATTAATGGAAGATATTTTTATTACATTGCTGAGGTACAAACAAACAAGTCTTGCTCTCTTGTGCTTCATTAAGTCGTCACCCACGTCCTCTTTCTTTGCAAAACCTTGCACTATAACATGATATTTACAGACTAATGTTTCAAATCTGCATCAGTGACGTGTGCATCCTCCGTATCTCCAAAGCATTAGACATAAATACTGATCTGAAATTAGTTATCTGCTGTTTTGAAGGAGAAAGTCTGCTGTGTCTGTGTTTTTCTCGGAACTTTGTCACACACACAGGCTAATGTTTAAAATGAGAGAGACAGGAAGAGAGTTTAAAGTTTGGGTCATTCAAGGACAAGCCAGGCACTGTGCTCCATGAATAACTTAGGAATCTATGAAGGTCAAGTTGCTATGGTGATGAGACAAAGGGGGCGTCCTATAACTGCACTGTTGCAGCCAGTCTTGAGTCAGCAGAGAAGACGGAGCACAACAGGGCAAACAAGCTTTCTCTCAAATACCAGGACGTTTTTCTCCATGTATATTAAATTCTGCCGCAGTTACGGTGAGGATAAGAAAGATGAGGCTGATGAAAACTTGCAACCCAAATTATCGGTTGAACTGGAGGGGAAGAAAGGTAGGAAGCTGCAGCTTTTGCAGGCTTCATGGCGGTCTTTGTTGTGCTCATTAACATTTATCTGATGTCGTCTTCCTCAGGCAAAGAACCGACTGGAGGAAATGTGCGTCTGTACCGTGGAGTGTGCTTATTCCTCACCTTAATGTGCATCGTCCTTCTGGTGGTTGTCATTATCCTCAGCCTGAAACGTGAGTAGCTGCAGCCATGGATCTGAATTCATGTCAGCGCTGTGATAACAAACCCTTCCTGGCACCACCATGTTTATAACACCAAAGCAGATTACGTAAGACTGAAGGTCCTGGCAGAGCAGGATCAAAATGGTGCACAGTTGTTTTCAGCTATGGATTTTTAAAATTCTATTTCTCATAACAGTGCATAACAAAGGAGTAAAACTATTGCTTATTGCTTTGCTGCAGCCTCAGGGCATTATTCCCTCTCTCAAATCTCCTCCCATTGTGCTCTGATTTCTAGTGCAAACTGGACCCACAGTCTGCCCGGTGGTAGAGGAAAGTGCAACAGCTAAAGAAGCAGTACCTGCGTTTGCTCCAGGATGCTCCTTCGAGAACTGCCAGGCCCAGTTCCCAGCTATTCACATTAAACGTGAGCAGGCACAAAAAGTGGGGGGGATTCTTTCTCAATCACCTTGTTTTTAGCTATAGTTCTGCTTTCATAATGATTCAAATTAGTTTTTAAACAAGTCTCGACTCAAGTTCGTGTTCTTCTTTGGCTCCTTTTTTTTGGTTTATAAAACAGGAAAAATTGAGACTCTTTTAGATTTCTGCGCAACTGAAAAAATACATGCATAAAGATGAAAATATGATGAAAATTGAATCACAAGCAAAACCCTTGAATATGCAAAGGAAAAAAAGAGTGTGGGAAGCTTCAGGTCTGATTAACAGCTTTTTACTTTTTCATTAACCTGTTTTTTAAATAAGCTTTTCCTGTTCTCTCTGCTTCCAGATCATGGCTGCCGGATGTGTGGTGATGGGTGGATGACCTTTGGCCGATCGTGCTTTTTCCTGTCGACTTTTAGACTGAAGTGGCACCAGAGCGAGCAGAACTGCACCTCCAGAGGGGGATCTCTGGCTGTTATTACAAGCAAAGAAGTTCAGGTGAATCTGATAACTTTTATGCCACTCTCTTCCTTCCTTGAGTTATTAACTATATGCTTATATATTACAAGCAAGCAGTTTATGAAGTGGTAATAATTGCTAATAGTTACGCATCAATGGTGTTTTTTCTTTTAGGACTTTCTGACACAGAAAGGGAATCTCCAATACTGGATCGGCACCATTAAAAAAGGCACTGAATGGACCTGGGTTGACAGCACAAAGCTGCAAGAGAGGTCTTTATTCTATAAATGATTCTATAAATAGTTATTAAAACAGACAATTGACTAATAGGGTAGTTTAGACATAGTTGTTTGTGGTTTAGATCAGGGTTGCCACTATTGCACTGTGCATATTGGTGTTTGTACATGTGTTAATAAGCTTATAAAATAAAACATTTATTGCACAGCTGTCAAATTGAATTACAAGTGTACCTAATAAAGTGGACACTTTGTTCAAACAAAGAAAAAAAATCCAGATATAGATTGCAGAATTATAGTTAATGACTCTTTCTTTTGTTTTGCAGCTATTGGGCAGAAGATCCAAGAACTGGGAATTGTGGGATCCTAGACAGCACAGGCCCATCTGCCAGAAACTGGATTAGAGCTCCCTGCAACGTCGCCACTTACTTCATCTGTCAGCTGCAGCTCTTGTAAAAGAACCGCGAGCAAATCTGTTCCGCCAGCAAGCATCAAATTCAACAATAACATGCCAAGACATCTCTTTCCAGTATCCAGCAAAGAAATATAAACAAGCTTTTTAGATAACAGTTGCTAAGTCTGACACTTAGCAGTTTATTTACAGTAGATTTTCTTGCAGCTTAGTGTGGAATAATTTCTGCTCTAATATTTGATTGTAAAGCTTTGTAAGTGCCTTGCTCCTTTGTTTTGTATGATTTTATTATCTGCTGTCTGCTTTACAAATGAAGTGACAGTGAAACTGTTTTAAGAAAGTTTTATTCTCATATAAAATTACTCATTACCTACATGATAAGATGAATCTCTATGTTGTTGTTTTTTTTAGCATATATTCCTGCTAGACATCTTTCATATTTCTATAAAAATCACAGTCTGTTCTATGGCATAATACTGCGGAAATAATTGCACTGTTTACTATATTGAAAAATCAAGATAGTGTGGTTCTTTCACCCCAAGGTCACTGAAATTCAGCAATTCTTTACATCTACTTAATATGTATATGACTCAAAGTTGATGATAGGAAGGAACTTCTGGGTTAGATGGCGTCTCTCTCTAAACATATTTAATGCTCTGTTCCTCCTCTGGCTCATCCTGTTCCATCTCCAAACCTAAAGCGCTGTGTCGAACCAGCTCCCACCATCCTCCTTTGTTTTTAAGTCTCAGCTTCAAGGTTCCCTTGAAGTCAGAATTTTCATCTCCCTCCGTTTCCTTTTCATCCTCTTTGGAGAAGACGTTTACGTAACGCCGCATCTTTTGCATCATGGAGTCATTTCTTTCCTCAACCCTGCAAAGAAGACGAATAAAGAAAAAGTCACGCATGTTTCAAAATTAATTATGTTACACTCTTCTTTTTAGTTTCCGTTTTTTTTTGGGCCCCACCTACAAAACAAAAAACTTATTCACGTACAGAAGGAAAACAGTTTTGCCCACTGACACTAAATGAAAGCCTTTGATGGACTTCACCCATGAGTAACTGCTGTGCCTGCAGTGAGAAGCACCATTCTTATCGTATTACTAATACTATATTTTCCCCCCTACTTATACATATATAACCTACTATTACACTTAAAAGGGTATATTATGCACATTTTCCCTGTCTACACTAGCTTTCCATAACTTGCAGTTCAAAATGATCCTTATTAGTCTTATACTGGCTTGGAGCAACTCATATTTGTCCAATTAACTTTAAACTACCTGTCTTCTGATTGGTTGGCCCTCACAAACAGGAGCTTGTGCTCAAACAAGTGCTTGCATTCAAAGTTGTATGTCAAGAGTAAAAAGAACTTATAAAACTGAGTTACAGCACTTCGAAGTTCAAGCTTTTGGCTTTTGTTTCATGTTTTCTTTCATATGAGCATTCACCGTTGAGATAAAATAAGAAAAAACACAACCAAAGGAATATTTGCTGTGTTGAGAAATAGACTGAATTGATTTGTACTGAAAGGCAGCTTTTGTTAGCCAGGCTGAATGTTTTTCCTCTTTAACCTTGATGAGACGGACGCAAAAATGAAAAGAATCGTCTAAGAAAAACATGCAGTGTAGCCTTAGGAGGTGTGAAAGTAATATAAGAACTACAATTAAAAAAAAAGAATTGAGCATTTTATAGCGTGACATGAGCTGTGGCTGTCGTTTCTGTACAAACTTCCTGTTTGACTTTATTTTTAAAGATAACATCCCTTTCTGCTGTGTTAGGTGATTTCTGTGGGTTTTCGTCTGTTCCTGACACAAGGTTGCATCTTACCTGAGATACCAGCACTCTTTCAGGCCATAGTTCAGCCCACAGACCCCAAGTCGAGGCCAGAGACAGCGAGGAAGCCTCCTCTCCAGCATGAGCGTCGTGGCCACCACCTGAATAACAACATTATAGCTGTAAACATGACACAGCAATGCTTAACGCACGCTGAAGAGGTGATTACACATGTGTGTGTAATAACCCTGTTACCTGAGTCCTCCAGAGCTCATCTCTCTCCTGGCCCACCCTCCATTGTGTGTCACTCATCATGGCGGTGAGCAGATTTAGCAGAAGGATGTGGGAAACCAGAGAGGAGGTGCAGTGCAACACATGGACAATCGCAGGTATAGGGATGGTGTGGTCCACAGGCAGATCGATGAGGCCAACGCTGAGCTCAAATTGGGAGAAGAGGCTGATGGGATATGAGCGATACGCAGGAAGGGAATCTACCTCCTGAGTCATGTAGACTATCCAGAGGGCTGAGAAGAAAAAAATGTTTGTAAGAGAGCAGGAAGGTCTCCTTTAAAGAATGTTTTGTAAAATTTGTGTTTATTTTCACTGCTAACAATATACTCACAGGTGGAAAAGGCAAAGAGCACAATGGAAATCAGCCACATAAACTTTGTCAGGTCTCCAAATATAATCTAGGGGGAAACGAGACACAAGCGAGCTCAGTCTGAAAATGTAAAACCTCAAAAACCAAAACAACAAATGAAAACATGTGTGAGCAGGTGTGTGAGCAGAGCAAACTCATGTTTTTGTTACTCATGGAGCTCGTGTAGAAACCCATCCGCACCTTCTGTATCGTGATGACGTAAGGGCCAAGCATTTCGAAGCCACGGGCGAAGAACATGACATTACACCAGCCGAGGACCAAACACACCGCCATCACCTCGGCCTCCCTCTGCACCTCACAGGCTCTGAACACGCACAGCAGCACCACCAAGCAGGCATAGCTGATACTGGTCAAAAACAAGAGCGGCAGCAAGGTTAGGCAGTGTTCCCAAACATTATGCTTTGCTTGGGTTCTCAGAGGGTGTGTGTGCTTGCTTACAGGATAACATGGAAAGGGCCTCCCAGTGCCGTCTGGCCAAAGTAGCGCTTTGCTCCAACTCTCAGAATATCTGGGATCTGTTAGGAGCACAGGGGATGCATGAGGTCAGAACAGTTCACAGTAATGTACTGTTGAATATTTTTAAACAAAAAGCATATTTTAAATGTCCACCTCCAGCACAAGGATGACAAAAGCTCCAATGACGCTGATAATCTCTCCTGCGAGCCGCACATTATCCCCATGTGTTGTATAACTCTCCTGAGGTGGACAAAGAGGAAATGATGCTGTTATAAATATTAAAATCTCATTATTGTCTGACAGTGTAACTTATGTAGGTGTAAAGTTTGGCATTTACACATGCATTTAGTGGATCTTATGTATTTGAATTTTTACGTAAGTTATGGCTGAAGTAATTTGGGGCAAAAAAAACCTCTGGTGGTGCAGTAGTTCAGGAAGTACTAACTGCCAAAGTAGAAGTGACACGCTATGAAAGTGTTGCCTTCCTAAAATGTGTAGCAGGCCCCAGTGCAGGTGGGGACTGGGAAACTAGGGGGTAATAATGGATTCAATTAGAGGAATCTGAATTTTTAGTGGGGACTGACCTAAACATCTACACCCAAAACGTCAACTCCATAAAACTCATGTAATAGAAGTACAAACTGAAAAAATTAAACAAAGAGAAAAGGGTAGAAAACGAAATCAAAGTACTCATTATGCAGATTCGGTCGACTATTTGGATCATAATAATTAGTACTAACACGTGAGAGCTGGTTTAATGTTACTTCTAGGCAGTCAGTTTTATAAATGTTCATATTTTATTTCCAAAAGGTTAATCTGAAATATGACTCTTTAAAATAAATGTGCTGTAATAAAAATCGAATTATATTTTTGGGATAGTTCAAAAACAGTCAGCACATTGAACATAAAAATTTCACTTTAGGTGTCTCATTCAAACAGTATAGTGAGTAAAATGTTGAGATCTGTTTAAGGTTTTCTAATGTCTATGATAATTCATAGTTCTGGCCCACCTTGAGCGTCTTCTGAACCCAGACAGTTTTGTCTGCATCTGACGTTGTGTAGTTCTCTGGAGCGTTCTTTAGGGGGCGAAACATACAGCACATTGTGAAAGTCCCGATGTACAAGAGATACAGAAACAGCAGAAACCTGACAACAAAAAGGGAGGAAGAAACCCAGTGTGTTAAACAGCAATAGACATGTGTACAATTCAAGTATTTTAGTTCAGATTGAACAAAACTAACAAAATCTTACCTGAAGTAATGTTTCCCATACAGGTTCCACTTCAGACTAACCAGCTGCCTCACAGGAGTGACCTCCAGGATCTTCCTTGCCTGGAGAGCAAAAATAGAAGAGATATAAAAAATCTCAGAGTCAGAACTAACTTCCTGATAACAATTAGCATTTTCTCCTGAATGCTACCTACATATTCTTCTGTACCTCTTTCTGCTGGCTGGCCACAATGACCTCCAGCACTGACATGCTATCGGCCCACGAGTCGATCTCGGACAGGTCATACAGGTGAGAGGTCAAAGGGCCCAGACTCCACTGGACTACACGCCTTTTGTTAACTAGGTGCTGGAATATCTTTAAGAGACAGGGGGTTAGGATGAGATTAGGAACAATCTGTTCCACCTTTCATGTTTGGGTCACCATGTGAATCTTCCAAGGTTCTACTCACCACTGTGTTTCCCTCTTTTGCAGCCAGCTTAAAAGGTGTAAGGCCTCGGGAGTTGGGAACCATATCAAGGGGCACTTGCTGGTCCAGCTCTGCATCGCGTGCCATAATCAAGTCAATGACCTGGCAGGCAATGTTCTTGTTGGGCTGCAAGACCAAAATGTGAAGCACTGTGTTGCCTGTATGGAGAGTGTGTACGCAGGAGGCACAAGAAGACAGGAGAAAGCTATTAATTGTTAATAAGACGCTCATATTCAGATATGCACAGCTGGGTTAACCTCCTGAAGGTCCCCATAAACCAGAAATCAGTCATTACTCTGAAACATTTAGCTATGTGAGCAAAAACTGGCAACAATTAGTTTAGCATTTAAAAAAGTTTTTTTTTTAAATTTTTAACCTATACTCTCGAGGCACTTCAATGATCTTCTTTTAATTACTGACTCTGGGTGCCCCGCGGCCTTAGTTTTGTTGGACCTGTCCTCTGCTTTTGAGCTGTTGGACCATAACATTCTCTTAATAAGGCTTGAACATCTGGTTGCATTACAGGTATGGTCCTTGGTTGGTTTAATTCCTACTTATCGGAGAGGTCCTTCTCTGTCACGATGGGTACATACTCCGCTTCCATTGCCCCTGTTACCTGTGGTGTCCCTCAGGGGTCTGTGCTGGGTCCTATGCTGTTTTCTCTATATATGTCACCCCTTGGTCATATTATTGAAAAGTACAAACTCTCTTATCATTGCTACACGGATGACATTCAAATTTATTTTGAATTGACTGAGGGTGATACTTTATCAATGCTTCGCTTCTTCGATTGTATAAGTGAAGTTACCCACATAGCAAGCAGTTCTGGCCCGGATCTGGTATCAAGCCGGCACTGCTGGCTGACTTCTGGCATGTAAAAACATATGTCATCCAGATATGGGCCAGGCCTGGCATAGATGGCACTGTCTATGTGATGGCATGCCATATCTGGCTCAATTGTGGTTTGGTTTATGTGGCCCGGGCCCATAGAAAACAGGTCTGGCCCAGATCTGGCATCAAGGTGGCACATCTGACTGACCGGTGTCATGGCAGGGTGTATGTCAACCAGATGTGGGCCAGGCCCGGTGGCGCCTGTGTCCGGCAGCCTCGCCTCTGTCAGTGCGCCCCAGGGCAGCTGTGGCTACAATGTAGCTTGCTATCGCCAGTGTGTGAATGTGTGTGTGAATGGGTGAATGACTGAATGTAGTGTAAAGCGCTTTGGGGTCCTATGGACTAGAAAAGCGCTATACAAATGCAGGCCATTTACCATTTACCAGGTCTGGCAATGGTGGCACTATTTATGTTCCTATTTTCCTATTTTAGTTAGAAGACCCAAATGCCATGTTGCAATACGATACTGCTATGGTAGCCAAGATTTCAAATGCAGGTTTGACAGGTTTGTGAGTGTACACTTTATCCAAAACCTAGTGACGGTTTACTCATCTTCACCAGTGGGTGGCTGTAGCTCAGGCGGTAGAGCAGTTTACCTACTGATCGGAAGGTTAGTGGTTCCATCCCTGGCTTATCCAGTCTGCATGTTAAGAGTGTGAATGTGTATGAATGCAGTTAGGTAGCACTCAGTTAAGAGAAAGTATGTGTGATTGGGTGAATGTGGCATGTTGTATAGAGCACTTTGAATAATCCGGGAGACTAGAAAAGCGCCATATAAGAATCAGTCCATTCACTGTCTGAACAGAGTTTTCTCATGTTATTTACTATTATGTTCCGGCACATGTTGTTATTACATGCCTTGATAAAGGTACACATTAGGCTGACATCTGGGGCCAGAGCTAAAACTGTTCTGGGGCAGCACAGGGCCAGCACTGTGTCTACAACTGGCCCGTGGTTGCACACAACTTACACATGGCTCACATACCGCAAAGAATGACGGCCCTTCGGTGGCCCAGATCAGGTTTGCTAGACGCAGTCCACACATGGACCAGCACAGGACCACCAGTGTGTCTGCAACTGGCCTTGTGCTGGCCCATGTGTGGGCCACATCTGGCAAACCTGATCTGGGCCACCAAAGGGCCGTCGTTCTTTGCGGTATGTGGGCCATGTGTAAGCACATTGTGTGGGCCAGATCCGGGTCATACCAATTTTGCTATGTGGGTAAAGACTGGCTGCTGAGCAATTCCCTTATCCTTAATGACAAGAAAACAGAAATTGTAATCTTTGACAGTCACACCCCTAGAGCCCATCTAACTGGTGTCCTCGGGCCCTTCGCTGATTATCTTTCTGATTCTGCAAGTAATTTGGGTGTTTACCAGGACGGCTCCTCTAAACTTGACAAGCATGTGTCCTCTGTTATTAAATCTTGTTTCTATCAACTTCGTTTAATTTCTAAGGCCAAGCCATATTTACCATGTGAGGATCTAGAAAAGCTTATCCATGCCTTTGTCACATCCAGGTTAGACTCCCTATACACTGGAATTCATTCTGCCCTTCTTCATAGATTGCAACTTGTCCATAACGCCGGGGCTCGCCTTCTAACTGGTACTCGTAGGCTTGAGTCTATCACCCCAATTCTCACTGGCCTCCACTGGCTTCCAATTAAACATCACATTGATTTCAAAGTCCTACTGCTTACTTGTAAAATCATAAATAATATTGCACCTAGCTACCTTATTGATCTCCTTAGCGTGAATACTCCCAGTAGAACACTGAGATCGTCTTACTTTTGGTACAACCTAGGTCACGGCTGCAAACCAGAGGTGAACGCACCTAACCTCTGGAATAACCTCCCTCAAACTATTCACACGTCTCACTCGATCCAGACCTTCAAGTCTCGATTGAAAACAAACCTTTTTAGCTTAGCCTTCTTGGCCTCCTAGAGCATGCCTTTTAATTGTACTTTCTTGCCCTCCCCTTTCCTCTCTTTTACTCTTTTACTTACATTGTTTTATTGTTTTTATCGTTAAGTCTTACTTCCTTATCTGCGTACTTGTGTACTTGTATGCTTGTTTAAACAATGCCGCCCACCTGCTAGCTTATCCGCCTTTGTACTTTACTACTGTTTTATTGGATTATGTGAAGCACTTTGGCAACCTCTGGTTTTAAATGTGCTATACAAATAACGTTTTATTGTATTGTATTGTATTGTATATTGCCTCAGTAGTGTCTTTGATATGAACAGTCTCCTCAATATAATTTAGCTTTGACAAAAAAGAAGCCTGAAACTTTTACCTTTTCAGGCTGATGTCAATTTTTCTTTTTGCATTTTCAGCTGTTGGTTAGATAAGAAAATTGCTAGTTTGAGCCTGACAGTAATTCTTGAGGTTCTTTGAGTTTAAATTACAAGACCAGTCCCAGAAAGCTGCAATTAGTGGCAAACCCATCAGGGTTGATTTTGTCCTTTAGTGGTGAGAATTTTAGACAATGCTGTGATAAATCAAATTAAAAATAAGACCCTAATAACACATGGGATGCAGAATATTTTGTGGCTTAAGCAGTCACACAGTCAAATTTCCTAGCAGTGTAAAATAATACTTGATCTTCTCTCACTCAAGGGCTCATACCTTTGTAATCCTGGATCCTGGTGCTGGCGCCTGCATCGATTACCATGGAGATGATATCCAAATTCCCAGCACAAGCAGCAAAAGACAGGATGTGCTCGCCTGATGAAAAGCCACGCGTTTTGTTATTTTGCACAAAATCTCTCTCTGCCTTGTTTTTTATCACATATGTTGGGACCAGTTTGGGGTTTTATTGTCCTGCCACTGGCCTTGTAATTAATGGTTGAAACATTTCTTTACGTAAGTTCACTCATGCTGGCTTACCACAGTACATAAGTCCTCCTATCCTCTTCCTGAAATACAGACCAGTGACTCTAGGTGTGGACACGTCACCACCGCGACTAATCAGATGACGAACCAGGTCGCTGTTCTGATTCACCACAGCAATGTGGAGAGGAGTAATCCCTGAGGCGGAGCACAGAGAGAAAGTGTACATCAGTTCACTGCCAACACACTGGTTTTCGTTTCACCAGCTTTGGTAAAACCTACACTTAATGCTTTTGCTTTATCCACCACTGTAACCCTGACAGGGTTTGCTCTCCAAAAGCAGCAGATGAGGCCTCATAATTGGAATTTGTTGTCCTTTATTGATTTATTGTTAGATGAATAAAATAATGAAGTTAAAAAAAAAAACCCTCAGTGATATGATTTGACTAATTAAAATATTTTTTAAAATATTAGGGAGCTTAGAAAGAAAGTGACTAAGACTTCTTTAAGTTTCTTTAAGTTTCTTCAGTTCGCTTACTTTCTAAGGTCCTTAGATTTTTTTAAAACCTGCTTAAATTGTTGTGTTAGGCTTTTACATGCCCTTGTATCCACTGTATCAAAAATCTCACAGATTTTGCTAATAAGCTGAATTATTTGAATTGCAGACCAAAAAGCTGCCAACTTGACATCTATATAGTTACACACAGCACTCAGTCTGCATGATGTGCATTGGTGTTTTGCAGTTATGAATTTCTGCATGTCAACCTTGGAAAAGTTCAGAGGTCATGGGCTCGTTAATGAGGTCAGGAGCTCCATCCATCAGAGCCACAGCAGCATCCAGGTTATCGTTCATAACAGCAACGTGAAGGGCCGTCTCTCCCAGGGAGCCTGAACAAGAAGATACACCTTCTAAAATCACGGAAAACACACCAAAAAGGCAGCAATGTAAGGTTTAAACTCCTTGTTCAGTCGTACCTCTCTCAAAGATATTCGTGGATGCACAACCTAGCAGTTTCTTGATGCAACCAGCACTGTTGTTTTTAGCCGCATAGAAGAGAGGAATGTCATTCACACTGAGGGACAGAAGGACAGAAACAAGAAATCAGATTTATGGTAAAACTTTAAACAAAACTGAATGTGCTGGAAAGTGGCGTCAGCAGGAGTTTACCCTTTTGTGTAGAGCAGAAATGTCTCATCCAGCATTTCATTCCATCCTTTTTTGTTCTGAAGGCGAAACTTCAGCTGGCTCCACCAATGGTTGAGCTCGCTCGGAGCAGATCTGGCTAAAGACGGTGACATTGGCACCTGAGGTTTGACTAGAATTGTGAAACGAAAAGTTAGGAATGTTTTTTAAGAAACTCAAGAAAGACAAAAGTAGAGTGGGTGAAAAATAAATGCTATGGAGTCTAAATCCACAGGTGGAAAAAAAAATTGTTGATTTTGGTAGTTTTTTCTATTAATAAATTAAAGTAAATCTTTTCAGTCTTACCTCACCCTTAAGCAATGAAACTGCTGCTCCTCAATCTCTGGTGACACTGAGAGAAACACTCAAAAGTGGACACACCACCTTTAAAAATGTCCCCGAGGAGAGATGAAATCCCTGTGGCATCACCAATATATATATATGTCCCAGCCAAGAGGGAGGAGATATGAGAGCAAATGGGTGGAGAAGGAGGATGCGTGGAAAGCTGACAGGTAAGAATAAGACAGTGACGCAGTAATGAGCAAGGAGACTTTCACTGGTCAGAAGTGCCACAGAGAAAGCTGTGCTTCAACTCCCTGTTGACAAGGAATTCCTTTGTCATGCTGATCTAAAATTATTGGCTTGATCTCCTTAAAAGCAAAGTGACAATGGTCCAGTCCCCAGTTCGCGGATATCTATGCAATCACCAGGCCTCTCAGCATTCCTCTGACTACCACCGAAACCTGCATGGCCACTATGAAAATTCAGCAAGATCATGACAGTCAACACACCACTTGTAGTGAACTGTTAAGAAAACCTGTTTGGAAATTGCAAGCATGCTGTTCTATACCTCGCTTTATGGCATTGCGTTTTAGTTTGGATCTTTTTTTTTAATGAATGAGCAAAATCCTCAGAGTGAAACTGGAATTATTTGGAAAATATGGAGATTATAAAGGATTTTCCACCATGCTGCTTCTTGGACACACAAACACTAAACATCTAGCTTCATTCACAGTGATATAACATGTTGAGCACCATTCATGTGTCAACAGGAATGATCCCAGATGCAGTAATTACTGCACTACAAAGACTATAATGATCATCTAGAGGCTGGCAGCAGCATCATGTTCAATGAGAGAATGTCACTTTTCTCTGAATGTGGAAAACAAAGCTAATGGCGCGTGTTGTTTTGTGAAACTGCAATTAGTTTCAGAGTTGACACATTCAGCTAATAAAAAGCCACAAATTTCATTTACACAGATCTGATTTATTTACAAACTATTGAATCAGCGAACATTTAAATTTCTGGTCACCTCGGCTGTAGTGGACACATATTTTTCTGCACCATTTTTAGGTCATGACTAAAAAGCTGGTTAACCACTGGATAAACAGGGTTTAGGAAGACTATAGGAGGCCCTGATAATGGCTGCCGATGTGGCCATCATTTAGTATTGTGGAGATAATAGCTGTTTACCAGACAGAGAGCACCATCTTTAAGCAGTGTCATAAAGACCAGTAGTTTCAAAACTGCTAAGGTCTTTATAAGAAAACAATAACACTGTAAAAAAAACATGATTTTGTGGCTTTGGTGTTCACTGTTTCTGGATATGTGTAACAACACTGAGTTAATTTGAGGTGAGACACCACAGAAAACAATTATTACAGAAATCTTATGACAGCTGACTCCTGAGTCCAGAGTGACTTAATAGTACTTGATGACCGTTATTTAAGAGCCAAACCAAAACGAAAGTTAAACTAGCCGTAAAATCCCACAAACTGTTTAGTGATAGAAATGCAATTAAAATGAAAGAAATCTTCAGGAAATATCTTTTGTAGTTTTTGTGAACTTGGTCAAATCTGTCAGGACAACAAGGATCAAGAGGAAGATATTAACTGAGACTGATTCCTTATAGCTGTGAGTCTATAAATGTGTAAGGATTACATAATCCTGAATATCTATAAAAAAAAAAGAAATATCCTAGAATGATAAAAAGAAAAATAGACCAGCGCAAAACCTTTTTTGACCCTTCCAACATATTTAACTTGCATACCCCAAAACATTTTTATTTTTAAAAAGCATTAATCAAAGCATTAAAATAGAAAATGATACAACATAAAGAACAACATGATTAACAAAGTGAATTGTAGAGGAAGCACTTGTGAGATATTACAACAAATGTACACCTCTGCGGCCTGCAGGATAAACACACTCCGTCTCTTAGGGTCACAGGTGAGTTAGAGGCTAGTGGCAGGGTACACCCTAGACAGGTCAGCCAACAATCTCACTGATAACCTGACATGCATGTCTTTGGACACAGGGACACCCACAGAGTCACAGACAGGACGTCTCTAGAGCGACTCTACAAAAGTCCCCTGACTGGCCAGAGATTTGAACCTACAACTTTCCACACATGGGCCATTAATCAAAGTAATTTGAAAAACTCTTTGAAAAACTGTAAGAATGAAATAAAATAAAAAACGTCCCCCCACATGCTTCTTATTAATATCCAAACTTTAATTATTCCTAATAGACTGCATTAAATGATATTGCAAGTAAGATGTATTATAATATGTATTTTAAATCATGATTAAATTGGATTATGTAAAACCATCACCCTCTGCCATCTGGAAAATTCCAGGTCACATGAGTCATTCTCATATTACTCTTTAGTTCATCATCAGATTTTTCAGTGTTAAAAAACATTTTGAATCTTTCTTTGACCCCGTAATGCCAAATGTGTCATATTTTATACACACGTTTTGAGACGTCAATGCGATTTTTTTTACCCCTTAAAAACCAGATGTGTAAAGTTAACACATAAAGTGTGAGCAAAAAATATTAAAACTCATATATGTGAATTAATATTTAATTTCTTGTTTAAACAAAATTGTCACAAGCTTCAATAAACACATAAAAAGGCAGTTATTTCATGGTTCAGGCTTCAGATGGTTACGATAATAATTCAGTAGGACGAAGTAAATGTTCACTCACGACTTTGCAGAAAATATTTTAATTTCATTTGCAAGGTTATACTGCAAATGAAATCAAATATACAAAACATAATTTTTAACAACTGTTCAGCCTACATGAGTGCAATGTCGTTGTAAATGAAAAAAAAAAGGTCTGTTACAAAAATAATGCTATTTTCAAAATTTGTGAATTACTGTTTCCTTAAAGTTTTTAGAGAGGGTAATTAAAATTAACGTTTTAGATTAAAGCGGGTTGTCTGTCTTTATGTGATCAGAATTGAAATTAAAGCATATTTTATTTAAATCTTAAACCAATTGCACCTTTTTAACATTCTTCATCTTCATCAACAGTCTGACATGCACAGTGTTTATTTGAGCCTTTGTGTTTAACTTAATGTCAGTGGAAGATAGTTTATATGAGTTAAATTTAACATAGCACCAAGTAAATAAGTAAAATGTATTTATGTAGAACCATTGTAGACAAGGATCACAAAGTTATTCACAACAATAATCAAATAAAAATATAGACATTAAAACACAACAATAATATTCATAATTTAAAAGCAAGCCTGTACAAGTAAGTCTTGAGCTACTTTTTAACCGTTTCATTGCAGCCCACAGAAACGAAATCTGAACTGTAGTGGTGGTGCATACCATAGTTAAGAAGCCACAACCTCAAACAGACAGTCTCTTTTAATGTTCAGTCCAAAAAGATGAACCACCAACAGGTTTTGGTCCAAAGATCTCAATGACCTGCATGTTTTATATGACTGCAGTTCACTAAGTAAGTAGGCATTCAACCATGCATAGCTCTGGAAATAATCACAAAGATACATAATGCAAAGACAGCAAAATAGGTGTCAAGTGAGATCACTAGCGAGCCTAATAAGTAGCTGCACTTTGCAGTGAGTGATTTGTAAGTGATCCAAAAAGGACTTCCTGAGGCCAACGTACAGTGAATTACAACTTTGAGGAAACAAAAGCATGAATTATCATTTCTAATTCTGACTTGGACACCGTTCGACTGAGGCGGGCAGCATTTCACAGATAAAATGCAGGATCAAACAAGGCTATTGATATGTGTATTAAAACTAAGAGCCTGATCAAATCTGACACCTACATTTTTGACATTTGATTGAAACAATGATGAAGACCCAAGACTAATAATCAGAGTGCAAACAAAGCTGTCAGTAGCACAAACAAAAACTTTTCTCTGTGTTAACTGAAAATAATTAGCAGCCATCCAGTTCTGTATGGCATCAATACAGTCTTAAAGGATGGATATTTTTACAACATTCTTTGGAGTGAAAGAAATGTACAGTTGGATATCATCTGCATAACAATGATATGAGACACATTCAAAGGTGTTGAAGTGATAGCAAATACATATTGATGCATTCTCAATCACCCAGGAAAGTAAATCTCCAAAAAGTTGATTCTGTTCATCTGGACGTAGCATTTTGTGGGAGAAACGTTTCGTCACTCATCCAAGTGACTTCTTCAGTCTCAGCTGACTGCAGGTTACAACCGCTGCCCAAGCGAAAGCCTGTAGTGATCCCATGTGATCCATGTGATCCCCTTTTTTCTAAACACCGGGTCTCTGTGGCTTTTAAACCCCAAAACACGCTGCGCCAAAAATTGGTCCACCCCAAGGATCGGGTCCCCCGACACAAACAGAGCAACATAGTGTACGCTGTTAAGTGCCAGAAGGATTGCCAGGATTTATACATCGGGGAAACCAAACAACCTCTGGCGAAGCGGATGGCACAACACAGAGGAGCTACCTCGTCAGGCCAGGACTCTGCAGTCTATTTACACCAACAGTGGACACTCTTTCAATGATGAGGATGTACACATCCTGGACAGGGAGGAACGCTGGTTTGAGCGCGGAGTCAAGGAGGCCATTTACTTGAAAAGGGAAAGACCATCTCTGAGTCGAGGAGGGGGCCTAAGGGTACATCTGTCACCATCTTACAATGCTGTGATTGCAGCCATTCCCCAACTCTCTGTGAATGGTACTCATGGCCATTGATCAGTGGGTTTTGATCAGTGGTCAGGAGAATTTGCATAATTAAGATTAAGGAACTGACCTCCCAGCCCATTGTTCCTCAGTGGGCTGGTTTCAGTCATTATCCAAATGTACTGTTTATAAGATTTGGGGAAACCTGCAGTCAGCTGAGACTGAAGAAGTCACTTGGATGAGTGACGAAATGTTGCTCCCACAAAACGCTACGTCCAGATGAACAGAATCAACTTTTTGGAGATAGCAAATACAGTGCAAACAGAACAGGTCCCAAAACAGAACCTTGGGACACACCATAGCACAAAGTTGCAAATGAGGACGCCAAGCTGTCAGCAGCAACTGAGTAAGTTCTGTCTGGAAATAAGAATTAAAAACATTTTAAGTCTGATCCAGAGATGCCCAGCCATGTTGCTAACCTGTCAATCAAAATACCATGATCAATTGTTTCAAATGCAGCTGAACAACGTTTTCATCTGCATCTCTCTTCACTAAAATGCCACGAGAAACTCTAAGAACAGCAGTTTCATTAGGGTGATAGATCCTAAAGTCAGTAGTTCAAATTATTTGCAATTGAAAAGGGAAAAAAAATCTGAATTCATTGGAAGGTCTGTAAATGGTTTTGTTGTGTATCTTTCGCGGATGTTGCTTTTGTGCTTTAATTTAAGAACAGTTTCAGTAAAGACTTAATTTTGTACCATTGTAAAATTTTTAACGTAAAATCCTAGTCTGCAAAATAACAGCTGTTAATAGTTACCACATACATGTGTAATTTTACTCTGCAATGTAAAAGAATAGAAAATGCATGAAGTTGAAAAGATCTTAAAGCTGTCTGTGGATGATAATTCCTAAATTAAAGTTTTGTTGGTGTAAATATTGTTATAATTATCCCGCAGTTTGACATTGGGATGCAATGCTCTGCAGTATGAAAAATATATATACAGTAAAATACAGCAAGGCGCCAGCCAGATTACTCTGGTAGCCATGAAATGGAGGTTTGTGTAGTCTTTATATCAGTCCAGATCTGCTCTGATATCAGCACCACTGGGACATGTGGGAGACCTGTTTCTGTTCTTGGATTGCTGCTGATCCCAGCAGATCTCTAAGTCTGATTTCACACAAACCTGCTGATGTGTGGAACGTGAAGTGCGAGGAGTTCGAGAAGTTCACTTTTGGACACTGTGAAGGTGATATTAGCGGAACAAGGTGAGCCTTGTTCAAACCAGGGGAAATGTTTACATATTTTTTCAAGCGAAATGTGACCATAAATATGTAAATCTGTGACCATGTTAGTCATTCTGTTGCTTTGTCCATGACCGTGACATGCCACTTGTGTTTATCTTTTGTTACACAATCTTCCGACACTATTGTTTGACCATGACAGATAGATAACTTGTTTCTATAAACTATTCTTGGTCAAAAACCATGCAGACTGCTGTCATGCTGTATGTACTGTTTGGCTCCTTTGAGAAGGTAAATAAAGCTACCACAACCATAATGTATAATACAGTATTAGTTTTATATTTGAAAAAGTAAAGTTTGAAAATAAATGTCATAATGTAACATATCTAAGAAAAACTTAAAGGTGCCAATCCATGAACTCATGAGTAATTTGCACCTTTCTTTCATTATCCTTCCCCGTGGCTGCAACCTGATTTTCTTCCTCTGTCTCACATCTTTTGCACCAAACATGATGTTAAACAAGAAAAATCTATCATGTATTCTTTCTTCTTGGTCATATGGGCAATTTGTGTTGCTCATTCTTTATTACTGCCATCATGTCAAATTCACATCAGTCAAAATTAAACAAGAATTACTATTGTTAAGCAAAACAGCCCCAGAGCACGATGCTTCACTGTTTCTTCTCCAAACATGGCTCTTGTCATTGCGGCCAGCTCAATCTTTGTCTTGTCTGACCATAAAACCTTTCTCCAGCTGCAAGTTTCAGTCAATTTTTAAGGTGCTGATTTTAGAAACAGGTTTCTTTCTTAGTCGGCACCCTCTGAGTTCACGGCATCACTGTCCACTGTGACACCGGTGTTCCAGCTGTCCCTGGTTCATGGCATGCTTGAGGCTCAGTGGCTCGTGGGTTAATCCTGAGCATACCAACTAATTTCCTTTCATCTGAGGGTGACACTTTATGTCTCCTTCCAGACCTTGGCAAATTGTTGACACAGCTGAATAATTTGTACTAACGTATAGGTTGTTTTTGACGATCTTGTAATCTGCGGTTGTTTAGAAATAACTCTAAACTTTCACAGCTCTCCTTAGATCTTCACAGAGTTCCTCGGATCTTCCTTTTTTTTTTTTTTTTTTTTCTTTTGTGTCCCGTTTGGATCTTTAGCCATCAGAATTGTTGTCTTAAGGCCAAGAAAGATGCCAAGCGGATTAATTTTACCAAGTGGATCATCATGGCCTTGCCATATTGGTCCATTTGATTGACCTTTATTATAATTATGAATTTATTTTATTTTCAGTTGCTACAAACGGGACAGACATGACTGGGGGATAGGACAGGAGAAAGAATGAAAGAAAGAGAGGGAGAGAAAGAAAACCAAAGGGGAGAAGAGACGGTGAGAAGGGGGGGAAGAAAAAAAACCCACACATGCAAACACCACAAAGCATATGGTGTCATGCTTGCATCTTCTGAACTGAAGCATTCATTTGCCTCCTGAAAATGATATTCATTATTTTCTTTTTGCAAGTCATATTTAATATCACAACTGTTTCCAGATAATTATTATTTTTATATAAGAGCAGAACGGATGAGAAAGAAAATGCAGGAGGCTCCTTCTTTAAATAAAATCATATTTATTTTACAAATTTGCACAATTACGGAACAGTGGTGAACATTCATACAAGTAAACACCTATAAATGTGTGTAGCCTGACACACTTGTCTCACACGCGCGCGCACACACACACACACACACACACATGCACACACAGACACACTCACTCACACACATCATGTACAGCATGTACGCAATAACAGAGTTTCATATACAGCACACAGACATACGGGCAGCTACCTACAAAGCATTTTGCTTCCTTCCTTCAAGTGTAAATCAGATCAGATTTTGTCCATCTTGCTCATTTCACACATTCACAATGCTCCAATGACTCAGTGTCGTTACTCTAGCAATCAAACAAAAGAGGTGAAGTGTGAAATGCAGACATACTGTAAAGGTGGGTGCTGTTAGCTTCTGTGTCCATCGCAGGCAGAAGCTCGTGTTTGCAGCTGAGGTGAAGTTTGTTAAGTGTTTTAGAGTAAGTGAGCTCTGCTGTCACTGAGAGGCTCTACAGTGAGTTGCACAAACAGGGCAGCTCTCAGACCTTGGATATGTCTTCTAAAGGCGGATTAAAAAAAACAAAACAAAACATGGCTTACATTTATTAAAAGCCTTTTCGTGTTTAGGTTTGATTTTCCCAATATTATGGCAGTGATTGCTATATAACTTTAAGGATCTGCAGTACCGACTTTGGACTGGTGGTTCATAGTATTTGCTGTAACACTGAACAACCTATACATTTTTCTGACAGCTAACGGTAACACCTCATTAGGTGATTCATTAGCTGCTAGGTAACACTGTTTGTTTAGCATTTGGCATTTAAAGTGGAGAGGAAGTGATACAACTTTACAAATAACTCAAAAAAAAAAAATAGAAAAAGGCTTTGATTGTCTTCACGCAATTCTTTGTGAGGAGAGATCTCCCTAGATACTTTAACAAAAAATACTTTTGTGGTTTTATTGAGCACAGAGGAAACAGAAGCATTTCAGGCAAGGTGAGTAGAGGAGGAGGAAGGGAGAGATTGGACTGCAGAGGGGGGAGGAGAGGAGAAGGCAGACAACAATAAAGTGAAATCTAGTGGAAAAACATAGAGGAACCTTTAAAGTCCTCCTTGTCAGCAACTTTCTAGCCTCACTTTGAGTTGGGCCGCAGCTCCTGTAGTGTATCTCTCTTCTGTTAGTCGTCTCGAATGACTGGCTGAGAAAGTCTTTTCTCACTGCTTCTGGTTGCAGTGTCAGGTATATCAGAATAGACAGAGTGGCACTGTTAGCTGATTATCTCGCTCTCTTTTTTGTTACGGTTAAAATGTGCACCATCCAAATAAAATGTTGCCGAAACTGGACGCAACAAGCAAAGGAATGTGAAGCCCATAAATCCACAGCACAGGGTTTATTGCTGGTAGGTTTCAGACCTCCACCTGCCCCTGTGTCAGGTGAGCCCTGAGCTGCTGGGCTGCACTGACGATCTTCCTCTGGTGTCCCAGCAGGTTCACGCCGAGATCCTGGACGTCTCTGAAAGAGAGTTCAGACAACAATATTCAAATCTTGACAAAATCAATGTGTAAGAGCAACATAAAATTACCAAGGAAATTTTCTAACAGTTTGGATTATCCCAGAAAGTTGAGTCAGTTCACCTGGACGTTGCATTTTCTCCCACTGAAAACACAACTTTCTGGAATTTCCTTACCAGGATGATTCAGCATCGATTTTCCCATCCTACTGTTGCCAAAGTCCATCCATCCATCCTTTTTGCTTAGGCTGCTGCCCCTGCGACCCGGCCTCGGATAAAGCGGATGAAGATGGATGGATGGATGGATGGATGGAAGAAAAACTTTTGAGATCAACAAAAAACCTGTGCGAAGCACACAGGTGTAATCTACAAAGTTTTATGATGATGGTTGAAATCGGAGCTCAAGCATGGGTTCTTCATGCATTCGTTCCTCTTGGACCTTCTTGGACCCTCGTGCTAACTACTGGCCCACCATTCTGTCCCTATTCTATTCTAAGATTGTTTAAAGAATTAAATCTGCAGGTTGCAGAAGTTTCTCCTTTCCTTATCTTATGGTGACTTGTTTTGGTTATCAGATACCTACAAAAACTGCAAAATCCTCTCGGCTATTTGTCCCTCATCAGTTGCACCATCACAGCACCTTTATCTTATGGTGTCTGTTTCATAACACTAATGGAGTGCTCAGTGAGTTGCAATGAGACACCTACAGGTCCTGACCAAGCACCAGTATGCAGGGCTGCTCTGAAATGTTTTTGTGCACTGAAATGCACAAAAAAAAATCGGCCTTGGCACTTTTGTTGCAGTTGGTCTATCGCGTCTCTCTCTCTCTCTCCCTTCTTCTATTTTCTTATTATTCTAATTTCATTTCCCTCTGTCTGTCTCTCACTCTGTTTTTGGGACTGGTGTCCCTCCGCCCGCACAGCTTCTCCACAGCTAGTGCTACAGCTGCCTCCTGTGTCTATGAAGGCTCATTACTGCTTGTTGCTGGTACATTACTACTGTTGACGGCGCAGCAGCAATTGCCCTGACAGCTAACATGTTGCTCAATTTGACATTTCCTGTATCTATTTCTAGCTTCTCTTTCTTTGTCTCTCTTAGCTTTCAGCGCCACCTTTTCAGCTCTTCTTTCACACTAAACTCTGTTCAATAAGGTGTGTAAGAACACAGCAAAGATTGGGGAGGGTCCAGTTGCATAAAGAGATTTGATAGGGAAATACAGTAATGAAAATGAACAAAAAGGCTGCCAGTGCTTCTGGCACAGTCTAAAAGTGCGTCGGCCCACTGGGCTCTTTACCACTATGCGACAACTCGACTTGAGGATTCAGTGGATACCAGGTGGCTGGTGTGCTTGATAATACTCATGACATAGCTAAAATTAAATTAATGACTGATCTAATTAAATCTTAAGTCAAGAAGCCAGCTTTAAAAATGTTTGATATATTTTTCTGTATTTTTACGTTTGTAACTATCCATGCATACTCACTCCATCGTAAGCTTGCTGACGCTGTCTAATGTGTCCAGGTGCGCTCGATCAAACTCATCCTGATACCTCTCCATCCTCAGCGCTTTCAGCCAATCACTGACTGTCACCACTGACGATAAGTCTGTGGGAGTGGGGCTGAGCAGCGGCTGGGAGCAGCTTCTGTAAATGTCAAAAATGAGAGCACGAGAATCCATAACTGCAGCAGATTGTGCATCACCTGCTGCCTCGGATATGCTTTGCAGGTGCGTTTGCCAGGAGCTGGCGTCTCACCGAGTTGGCTCAGCTTTGAGGGACGCGGGGTGCCTGATGAGTCGATCCAGAGAAGACAGGACTGAGTCGAAACCTGGTCGGTCTGCCCGCTCGGCCTGCCAGCACTGAAGCATTAGAGAGTGGAGGGCAGGGGGGCAGTTGTGGGGGGCCGGGAGACGGTACTGATCTGCTACTGCCTTCATCACCTGCAGACACAAAGAGGAAGGCATCAGACAGAAGTAGGGCAGATGGAGTCTTGTGCAATTAGCCTCCATGAAAGGTCACAGATCTCTCAGAGCTTTCAAGAATGACTAAGAAAAAATTATGCAAATTTCATCAGTTTGGCATTTTGTCACCGTTTAAATATGCCTGTTGTGTAACAGGAGGAGGGGGAGGGAAGTACATTTAAGTACTGGAGGGCCACATTTGTGTAATAATACGTTTATTCCTCTAGATTACTGAAATATTGTACATAATGAAGGCTGTTTTAACAGCTTAAGCATTTAAAATATGATTTACACAGCACAAATTCATCTTTATTTTGCAGATACAGTATTTTCTGCATCTGTCAGCGTCGATAGTGATTTGATTTTATTGGTACTTTATTGCTACATGATGCACTGAATGCAAAATTTAGGAGATTTTTTGTTAAAAACTTCACATTGGCTGAGAAAGACAGATAATAATGCCTAATCCATGAGCTTGGCGAAACGTTAATTTGGGCTAAAGAAGGACTTGATTAGATCACTGTGATCCCATTTATTGACTTCATGAGCACCTCATTCTTATGAATGATATGAATGCTATAGCTCAGGAACAGCTGGAAGGAATATTTATGGTGCAAATATCCGTTTGTACTCGAAGATGAAGTTCAAGATCACTTTGATGTCACGTTTTTGGATGTATCTGAAGAACTTATATGCAAAATATGAAAAGAAAATCCCAAAGGTCAAAAGTCAGCTTCACTTTGACATCATAATGTTAAATACACTTTTCTGTCTAATATTTAAAACATGAGCAGAGGGCACCCTTTAGTCCAATACTGAATTGCTTTTGTTGATATGTAATTTCTTGAACACTTTATTAAATTATGTATTATAAGACTTTTAAAAAACTCAGATGTAAATTGCCACCTGACAAGTTAGTGGAAGAACACAACAGCAAAGCAGTAATTCTAGTTAACTGTATATTGTTACACCATAATAAAGATAAGTGCACTATACCAAGGGTTTTGCACATTTGCTTCTTTAACAATTCAGGAAACATTTTTCTTCATACTCACCTCTTGATTGCTCATGTCCCAGTATGGACGCTCTCCGTAGGACATAACTTCCCACATCAGTATTCCAAAGCTCCAGACATCACTAGCTGAGCTGAACTTGCGATGCTGAAATGCTTCAGGTGCCGTCCATCTCACAGGAATCTTACTGCCCTGATAGATGCAAAAAACAGATACAGCCACTCAGTGATGATGGAAACCAAGCTAAAAGGCGCTCCTTCCCTTCTAACCTACCAGTGAGGCAGTGTAAGTTGGTATGTTGTGGTCCAAGCCCCTCATAAGCCTGGAGAGGCCAAAATCAGATACTTTACAGACCAGGTTGGAGTTGACCAACACGTTCCTGGCCGCCAGGTCTCGGTGAACAAAGTTTCTCTCAGAGAGGTAACGCATCCCTGCTCCAACTCCCCTGAGCATCCCGACAAGCTGGAGGACACTGAACTGACCTTCGTTCTCCTGAAGAAATTAAGAGACATGATGGAGAAAAAAAGTCTCCAGTGTGGTGTAGCATGTGCAGGAATTCCTGACAGTGCGTTGTTTTCCTCACCCTGAGGAAGGCATCCAGGGGCCCGTTCTCCATGAACTCAGTGATGATCCTCTCTGGAGGGGTACGGGTGATAACACCCTCTAGTTTCAGGACATTGGGGTGGTCAAACTGTCCCAGGACTCCTGCTTCACTGAGGAACATCCCCTTCTCTCTGTCTGATGCCCCCCAGCGCAGAGTCTTCACTGCTACCAGCACTTCCCTGCGACCCAGCGGATGGTAACGACCACGAGAAACCTCGCCAAATTGGGCTGTAATGGAATAAACATGGAGGAGATTACACTGTGCTGCTGCCAGCACATAACAACAGCAAGATTTAAAAGAAAGGAGACCATGAAACGTACCTGCACCAATCACCTCCTCGATCTTGAGGTGAGTTGGGTCGATCTCACGGGCAAATTCTTTGACGGCCTCGCTAGGGTCCTCATAAGTGGATGGGTCAACGTAATACTTAACTCCACCTGGGAACAAGAAATCTACTTTTGAAAAACTGATTCAGAACTTTTAGTCCTTTACTTTAGACATGTAATCCCAAAAACAAGGTAAAAATGATCTTTTATAATGCAAAGCTGATGAGCTTTACTTTACACACAGATAGCATTTCTTTGTATTATTCATTTAATAATAAACACATAGAGCATCTTTATTTTTTTCCTATAAAAAAACAATGAATCCCAAAATAAATTCATTTTATTATATTTCACTCACCTCTGTTACTGATGTACCTCTGGAGTCGGTCACTGTATGGACTCTCCCTCCTCTTACTGCCATGTAAAAGCAGTCAAAAACTGTAATACCAGATTAAAACATACATGCATTCATCTGTTACGGCATTTATACCACAACCAACCTGCGAAACACCACCACAACCACAATGGCTGCCACGACAAGGAGAAACGCGGCCCCACCCATGACTGAGCCCACCAGCAGAGGAAGCCGGGTCTGGATTTGCTGTGAATGCTCCTCTGCGGGAGAGAAAATGAAACACCTTCAGCTATCAAGTTCAGATGTGCTTTTATTGGATATACAGACCACTTTATCTTTAGTTACAGCGATATATGTTCTATTTGAAAGTTTGATATAGATGTTAATACTGAGGCAGAGATGTTTTCTTAGTATTAAAAATGACAAAATAACTATAGAGAGATGTTTGCTGTGTTCATACCGAGGTGTTTAACCTCTTAATTTTTGGATTCAGGTGTTTTCAATCCTATTCCCACAGGTGCAGCCACCTGTTTTTAGAAACATCTGTAAAAGCATAGGTCATTCTAAATGCCCCACTGAGGTCGAGCGTGGGAACTTATTCCTCCTAGCTATTCCACAATCAACGGTAAGTTGTATTATTGCGAAGTGAATACGCTCAGGAACCACAGCAGCTCGGGCAGGAAGTGGCAGACCATGTTAAGTTATAGCACAAGGTCACTGAGACGCACCTTTCTGCTGATTCAATAACTGCTGAGTTTCAAACCTCTGACGTTAACATCAACACAGAAACTGGTTCACGGTGTGGGTTTCCATGGCCAAGCAGCTGCTGCAGGTGAAATCTGCAGGTGGCCCAGGACATGTATCCATATAGTGTAACTTTGGCCCTTCTAGTGTCACCATCCCAGTTCTGATTGTGGGTTTTTGAGGTTGAATTCTTTCTTTTTCAGGTGTTCAGAGTTTTGTTATGTCTCTTTTGTTTTTGAGGATTTTTGGAGCCTTTAGTTCTTGTTTTAATTTAGTCAGTTTTAGAGTTTAGAAGTGTTCCTTCAATAGTTCCTGTCTCAACGTCCTGTGTCTGCTCACTCTTTAGCTCCGGTTTCTAACTTACTCTTTTATTTTGGCAGTCATTTCTCTCCTGCGCTTCGATTCTTTCCCCTCCTGTCTCGCTGTCTTTGATTATTATCACCTTTAATTTTGCTACCCTGGTGTGTCCACTTTTTCTAATTATATCACATCTAGTCGCTGATAGCTGGTTTTGTGCTTCTGGTTTGCAACACAGTCTTCTCATTTCTACATGATTAAGTTTACATTGAGCAAAATAAAGTGCACTGAAAATGATTCACAGTTTATTCTTTGTTCCCTAGTTTCTCTAACTGCTATCCTGAATTTATCATGCTATCCTGACATCTTCCTCTGGTCTTACTCTTACTATTTTTTATGTGAATGGTAAGGCCTTATATTAACCGCTAAGCTTTGTATTACATATAGTAATGCAACTTCACTGAGATGAATGTAACTGCAGTTACAGTAATTGAAAGCTGCCCCAGCTTTTGTCTATTTTTCCTTTGTAAATGCTTGTTTTTGTACTAAGTACAGTCGTGCACACCCACACTCAAACAACAGCATGTGCATTTATTTTAATGCTTATGCCAATATGATCTTTTAATTAACAGTTTTCTATAATCATTTCAAATTAGTTCAATTCAGTTGTATTTATATAGCATCAAATCACAACAACAGTTGCCTCAACATGCTTTCTATTGTAAGGGACCGACCCTACAATAACAGAATATATACTTTTTTCTTAAACTATAAAAAAATAAATGACTGTGTGCATTACCTAGAGGCAGCGTCGTGAAGTAGATGGTGTTGCTGTAGGGCCCGTAGCCTCGCTCATTTCGAGCTCTGATCTGGAAGGCGTAGATGGAGCCGGGAATCAGAGACTTGACGGTCACTGTGTTAGTCTCACTGTACACAGTCAATGCGCTGTCCACGTCTGAACCCTGACGAACAGAGAGGAAGGGTCTGTTGTTTGGGCTCAGTTTGTTTTGTGTACAATCACGGCCAGTATGCTCAGTAAAGGATGACTTTGTGTGTATTTACCCAGCGAACACTTAAACGACTGTTGTTTTGTTGTTTGAATGCCATACTGCGTTATGGTGGAGAAAATGGTTCCATTATAAAACATCTTGTTGCCTGCGCAGGCTGGCCATTGTGAACACGAGTTAATGTTCTTCTTGTAGTTTCTAGCACATTTTTGTACATTATAATGTTGTCAGTTAAACAAAGAAATCTAAATAATTCTGGTAATACTGGAAGAGTAAGACAGGCTGCAGTCAAAACAGCAAGATCATGCTCACTGCTGTGAAAACAGGCCAGCTCACTAATAAAGAATACACCACACGTCGGGTAGGTAGAGAGATGCTTGTAGTCACGGTGAAAGTCAAGAGGCCCATAAAAGCTCACCATCCAGTACAAGATGGTCTTCTGCTACAGATTTGATGTGTATTCAGAGATGCTCTCTGCATACCAAGGCTGCAACAGGTGGTTATTTGGGATGATGTTACTTTCCAATCAGCATCAAGGAGTTTGACTAGATATTTGTGTTAAAAACATGTTTATGGCAAAACCAGTCCATAGAGTTGATACTGCATCTGTCTCATCACAACCATTTCGTAACCAAATAACTTGGTTTTGTAAGAGAGGTTGTGACGTCCCCTCACAACCAGCTGCTATCAAACTGAAAAACGAATGCTGAAACCTTCTGCCGGTATGTGTGACTTCACTGAACATACCTTGTCATAGTATCTGAGCTGATACTCCAGGATGTCTCCATTAGGCCTGTCTGGCTGAGGCCACGACAGAGTGATGGAGTCCGGGGCCCGGCTCAGCTGGTGCATCATAGGAACGGTACTGGGAACTGTGAGTGACAAGAGACGATACTTGAGCACGTTAAAACAGGAGAGCTGTTAGTTCACAAGTGACAGTGCCCACATGAGGGCAGTGTTACAAAACATGTAGACAGAATTCAGTTGAGCGTAAAAGTGAAGTAGGAGTTTTTATGGTGCACCAGTCAGGATCTAGTTTCACTCAGTGAGCTGGGAGCAGTTAAAGGGAACTTTCTGGCATTCCATTCATTTGATCAATAAGCTCTGAGAGCACTCACAGGAAGATTTTAGATAATGTGAGCTCATTGAACCTCCGAGCCAGTCTTGATCGGTTTCATGGAAAATTGTATAATGGTGTACTTGGTGTGCACAATGCCCCATTCTCCTCTCCTTTGCCCACTCATCTGCTTTCATCTTTCTTTCTCTCCGTCTCTTTGTCTTCCCATCTCTCATTTGTCCCTTTCTTCCTCCACAGTGACCATAATGGGATCTGACAGGATTTTGTAACCTCGAGCAACCTCCCGTTCAGAGAGCAGGAGCAGAAAACATGGAGCAAAGAGACCGAAAGAGAGGGGAGGAGGAGGGGGAGAGAAAACTGACACACACACACACACACACACACACACACACACACACACA